AACCTTATGAAATTAGTAAGAAATGGTAAGACAAACCCAAACCCTCAGTTTGATGGAGGTGGTAGAGTTTCTTTATTTTATTTTTATGTTATAACTTGTAGTTTTGGGCATGTCTCTGCAATCAGAAGCTGTCTGGCTGATATTGCTGTTGGGACAGTTCAGGAGGGTTTGATGTTTTGTGCCTTCAGACTTTGTTGTCAGCCTGGGGAGATGATACTTCTTTGGGCCTGCTGTACATTCTCCTGACTTATATTTTTTGTCTAGCAAGTATGCAAGCTTGGCTCGTGGCAATGCCTGGAGACAGACACAAACATCACTGATGTGTTTGCACCCGGTATTTTATATGCCTTGGATGGTATTGCATAGCTGCTTCCTCTAGAATTCTGTCTGAATACTTCTGTGCATAAGGAGATACGTGTGTGATGTTAAAAGGATGCTGTTTAGGTTGAAAAGTTAAGCTCCTCAGTGTTGAGGAATTGACAGATTTACTGTTGCTCATGGCATCTTGATTGTAGCCACACATGTGTCTCTCTCGTGCAGTGAAGGAAACAGATGTCCCATGAAAAAATTGGAATGTGACCATGTAATTGCATTATGGTGCAGTTGTTCAGCACTCTCCTAGTGTGACTGTCCATTGTAGTAATTCTAGGTCTGCTTTTGAAAAGCAAAATAAAAGAACAAATCATGTGCCTTGTTGCTGTGTCAGTTCCCCCGTGGGCTCATATGTTATCAGTAGCAGAGCTTGAAATTTGACTCTTCAGTGTTGCAGCTGAGACTCGACCATCTGAATTTCTGCTGCCTGGCAGATGGATCCAGCTACTGGCTTTTGTGGCAGGGAACTCAGCCCAGCTTCTCTTTCTCTCCCATGAGTGGACAGCTTCAGAGTATGCCATAGGCAAGTTGTGTCATTTTTGGAGGTAACGATCACCTTCTGATGTTAATGGTTAATGGTGTGACAAGAGGCTCCTGGCTGCAGGCAGCTGGGAAGCCCAGAGAAAGGAGCAGGAGATGCCTCTCAAAAGCATATAAAGAATCATAATTGCAGAGGCCTCTGCAAAAAAAATCGTGAGAGAGAGAAGATAGAAACACGAATCTGGACTAGAATTAAACAATATTTTTGTATTTGGTTGTTTCTCACCTCTTGCTTTTTAAACAAGACCTGTAACTTCTAGATGAGCAGAGCTTGATTATCCCACAGGGGTATATTTTAAGGGGTATATTTTAATATGGCACAGCCCACGGCTTGCCAGTACCACTCAAATTGCCAGCTTCATGCCTCATAAAATAGCTGATGTTTGGGCTTGGCTGAGCCAGTGGAGATGTTTCTCGACTGACTTCAGCGATCTTTCTGTAGGGTGGCAGTTGGCTTGCAACAGATGAAGCTGAGTAATCAGGAGTTTGTGGCTGAAATTGGAGCCCTGCACCAATGAAACGTGCTATGGGAAGGAGTTTGTTTCATTTGGAGTTGTTAGGAAGGCTCATAGTGTTTAAAAATTTTCTATCTTTTGTTCTAAACCTGATCAACTGCTGGGTGAAACAGCCCATCAAGGCAGATGACCTTTAAAGGTTGCTCCATGTGCCTGTAGTTATTGACCTTTCCTGGGAACTTTGTTTTTCTTGTGGCAGCCTAAGCATTCAAGCCTTAATCTTTACTGTGATTTAGAATAATAGAATAAATCATTGTCTTTAATCCTTACAAGAAAGGTACTATAACTGTCAATTTCATTAGGGACTGGTTTATTTATGCCAAAATATCTGAGCTTTGCAGAACTTTAGACATACTATTTCTCTTCGATTTTCTAAAAGCACTTTAAACTTTCTTTTTTGTGACACTGATTTCAAAACCTTCATTCAGAATCTCTCACTGAGCCCTTTGCTCCTTTGTGAGGTTTCTGATGGTTCAAGTTTATTGTAATAAACTATATTATGTGACTGTAATCTGCTGCCTCCCTCTACACACAAACAATGTGAAGCAGTCAGAGGGTTGTGATTGATGTGCCACCAGCTACACAGAGCAGGCAGCAGAATGTTTGTTGTTGGAGAAATCTGCTCACAGTTCCCAGTTTTCAGGGATTTTGAGTCATGATTTTCATGGTTTCCTCTTGAAAAAATGGATATTTTGCATAGCCTTGTTACTACATAATAGCTTTAAAATAAAGGGTATAAAGGGAGGGAGATGAGAAAAAACAATCTAGATCATCTATCTCCTTTGCAAAAATGAAGCATTTGACCAATGTTGCAATCAAGGCTCTGTTTATGAGTTCATTTTTGGAATGTGTAGAATAAAACTCTCACAAAGCAAATACTTGCTTCTATTACTGTCAAGTACAAAGTCCTGTTTCATAACAAGACAAATCTGGGAGCATCTCATTTATGTTGAACCTTTCTTCTTCAAGTCTGAGGACTCAGATTAGGGCAAAACTTCATATATGTGCTTAGACTAAGGCAAGAGAGACCTAAAAAGCACAGACTATTTTGTCCTGGAAGGGGCCTTTAAAGGTCACCTAGTTTAACCCCTCTGCAGTGAGTAGGGACACTTTCCACTAGGTCAGGTTCCTCAGAGCCCCATACAGCCTAATCTTGAATGTTTTCAGGAATGGGGTATTTACAACTTCTCTGGGTGACCTGTGCCAGTGTTTCACCACCCTTATAGTAAAAAATATATTCTTTTATATCCAGTCTAAATCTATCCTCTTTTATTTTAAAACCATTACCCTTTGCCCTATCACAACACAGTCTGCTAAAAGGTCTGTCCCCATCTTTGTTAGCACTGAAGCACTGAAGGGCTGCTCCAAGCTCTGCCTGGAGCCTTCTCTTTTCCAGGCTGGACAGCCCCAACTCTCTCAGCCTTTCCTCAAAGGAGAGGTGCTCCAGCCCTGCCATCATTATCTGTCCATGCTCTGGACCTGCTCCAAGAGGTTCATCTTTCCTGTGCTGAGAACTCTAACTCTCAGTAGGTGCAGAATAATGGAGCTATAAAAAGCTGCCAAACTTAGATGAGCTGAAAGAAAAGCTTTATTTCTAAAGATACACAGAGGGAATTACATAAGCTGTGGCTGATGAGGTGTGTCTGAAATGTTGACACAGTTATCAGGTGACTGGCATTTCATTCCTCTTGCCAGTGATGATGGAACCCTGCTCAGCATTCAAACTGACAGAAGCTTTTTCTTGGAAGTGTAGGTTACTCCTTTTTAGGAGACAAAATAGGAAACAAAAATATTTTGGCTCTGTGAAAATGCTTGGTTAATACTGATCAGCTATCCATCATATCCAATAATGGGAAGAATTTGTTTGAAGACAGTAATTTTTTTTTTTTTTTTAAATTTCTATCCACCTAACTTGCAAGATTCTGTATCCTTTTTCTGTCACAGAGGTGAGCTTGCAAAGCTGTTCTGGTGCTTTTTGTCACTATGACTCTGGCAAAACTTCTATAGCCAGGAAACTGTGCAGTACAGTATCTTTGCTCTATTAGATGATCTGGATTTTTGGGCTGATCTTGGACCCAAAGACTAAAACTCCCATAAGCAGCACCAGACCAGGATTAGGCATGTAATCACTGAAATGTTGTATAGAGATGGGTAGGCCTGCTCCTATGGGACAGTATTTTTAACTGCTGATTTTTTTTTTATGAGAACTGGTGCAATCAATCACATTTTTAATGAAATTTAAAGTCGGTGAAAGTTTGAATATAATAAAATGAAACTTTAAAAGAAAAAAAAAAAAAGGTGAGAGGACGGCAAAGATATTCCAAATATACACAGAAGGGGGAAAAGAAAACCCCATTTTGATTGTGAAAAGGATTATGTGCCATGGTGGCTATTTGTACACAGTGAAAGAAATGCCAGGCTTAAGTTCTATTTAGCTCTTTAGGGCGACCGAGCTAACTATGAATAATGACCCAGCATATCAAACCACTGCTTCTCCTAACATCAATCATTGAAGTCTACCCAAGATATTTGGAAGCAGAACATAAAAAATGAATGTCACCTGACAGCAGCCAGATCAGCACCAGAGCTAAAATAGCCCTGGCCATGCAGCTGCTGGTGTGTGCTGCAGGGATGGGGAATATCTGCTTCCCGAGGGTGCTGTACTGCTGGGTGGCTGCAGCCAGGCATCACAGAGCCCAGCACTCAGCTCCTGCGCCACAGACTAAAGATTATATGTTAATATGAGGATATTTAACTTATATTTATGAGTAATACTATGAGGCATGCAGGCCTTAGATAATCATGTTAGTTTTTGTCTGAGTATCATAGCAGGTGTAACAAAAGCATATGATTTGGGTGAGGTCACTTACCCCTTTTCTCCTCTGATGTAATCACAGGGTGGGTTGAGATCTGCATTATGTTCTGCATTTGAAAACCATGCACTTACATTTGCACATGCTGCCATAATAATTTTAAAAGGTTCTCCTACGGGCAAAAGTGTGTTTTGCTGTGTTTTGTAGAATTATAAAAGGTAGCTTTTACATCTCTCTATTGTTCTTTTTTGCTGTGTTGCCTTTGCTGTTGCCACTGCTGGTGAAGCCTCTGTTTTACAGAGGATTGCAGCAGGAGGCCTCAGAGTTGCAGAAATAATAGAATATGATGTACTGAAAAGGGAAATTAAGACAATGTTAAAGACTGAAAAAATCACTTAATAACAAAACACTACTTTTATTTTTTATTATCTCAGGCTCATTTCTTTATCTAAACAAAGCTGATTCTTGTTTGATCTTATCTAATTTTTTATCTTTCCTATAATTTCAATAATACTTTATCTGTGTCCCACATCTGTTGTAATTTCACACATCAAATTTCTGTTGGTGTTTTTGCATCTTTGTCCAGTATAATCTAATATTTTCTGAAATGCTGTGGGATGTTTTTCTCTTTCACAAATGAAATCTTGGCCACATTTCTGATTGCCTCTCCTCTCTTCTGCTTTTATATACCTTCTGTATTTTGTCAAGTTTCCACTTCTTGTAAAGATTTTTCATTCTAAAATTTTTCTGTTTTCTTTAGGGAACAGCAGTATTACAGTCTGGAGCCTTACCAGCTATATCAGGTAGGAGCCCTTTAGTTACTTACTTTATTTAACAATGATGTTTAAGTCTCAAATTGTGATAAGAGAAACAAAAGATTTATGGAAGCAGAAATAAATACTATACTGAGAGGTGTCCTATTCATGGTTGGTTTTGCTGCTGCAATTCATGACTTGCAATTATGAAATACATTGTAATCTCTAATAACCTTGTTTGAAAAGATTAATATATTTGTTTTCCCCTTTCTTTTGTTAATCTGAAGAGGTTCAAAGTTGTTAGTCTTTAAAAAGCTGTTTAGTGCCTTTTCTACTTAAATGTTCAAAGAACAACAAGAATTTTTTATTTTTAGGCTGTATTAGCACTAAAGGCAAACATGATTTATATGTTCAGTGTGTATAGCCAATTTCCTAAATAACATAAAATCACAGGAATGAATCTTTACCAGAAGCAATTGGGAAATGCTTCTCTTCTGTCTGTGAAACTACTGATTGACCAACAAAATCCCTAATGAGAGGGCACTGAGTATCTGGCCTGGAAAGATTATTTATGCACCAGTAGAATGTGTTGGTCACTCGAGTTCCCTGTCTAATGCAGCCAAACTGGTCTGGCACCTTTGAATTATCATTTACTTCAACATTTCATAGGCATTTAGTTTTGTGTGATTACTCTGGGTTAGACCTTGGGGAGATCAATGCAAATAATTTGGTTAATATCTTAAATGTCTTTCCATTCCTTAAATAGTTTACCTGCTAATTCATCAGATCCTTTAAATTTCATAAGATGCCCACCTCCAATAGACATGGAACAGCTCTTTGTGCTTGGGTTTCTTTACTACTTTAAAAAACCTTGGCCAATACATAAAGCAGTGTAACTGATGGATTCTTGTGTGAACAAATCCAGTAAGATACTCAGGATCAGGAGGTGTCTCTGGAGAAGGTTAAAAGTAACTCCTTCCTTCGTCTGTCTTAGCAGGAGAAAATCCAAAAGCATTTAGTAGATCTTCTTGCTAGTTATTCCACTCAAGTCAGTGGAATTACTCTTGATTTATAGAGGTGTAAGTAGAAGCCCAAATTGGATCATTAATTTTATCTTTCCCTTTGGTACTCAGGTTTTTAGTCCACCACTCAAACCAAGAAAACCAGAACACTTATGATTCAAGTGTGTTTAAATACAGGGAAACTTCTGCTGCATGTGGTGGGCACAATGGTATTTCTGTATTAATTAATTAAGTGTCAAGTTAATTTTGGGTGCAAACAACATCTGACAACAAACTTAATCTCAGACTATTCATGCGAGGGAGTTAGCTGTTTTGGTAAAACCTATCATGGAGCAAATTGGAAATGCAGAAATACAGGATAGATTTTTATATCAACAGAGAGAGAAGATATAAGACTAAAGAAGTTTGAGGAGGTGCATTTTATTGTCTGGTACACTGAAAAAATATAGTTTAAGAAAAAACTCTTGCAGGAAAAATATACATGTTTAAGACAAATGCAGCATCTAAAGCTAGTGAGTGAAATTTTATTTGTGAGGTTTCACCTCTCAAATGTTCCAATATACCAGTGCAATTTTAATCTTCAATGTTAAAATTATTTTTCAGAATACAAAAGGAGCTGAAGTTTTTTGTGTCTCATTGCATTTTATTATCTTAGATATTTAGTTTAAATTTTTAAAATTATTATTATGATTATTATTATTTCATATTAAAGTTTTCTCTTTTATATGGGTGAAATTTTAAGTATAATTGATCTTGGCATTGAAAAGCTTTCAAAATAGTTCTGTAGCATTTGAATATTTAATCTAAGGTGTTAACTGAAGGTTCCAGGGTGCTGAGCAGTCATTCACACTGTTTTTTGGACTAAAGGAACTGTATTAGAACTTGTCTGTGGCTCTCTATTATGAGAGACTATTATCCATTGCTGAGAATAAAACAGAGACACACTAATTTGAGGTAACTACTTTCAAAACCTGTATTGTGCATATATATGACAAATACTTCTGCTAGCATGGATGATTTTACATACCCAATACCCAGATATAATATTTCTTGGTGTAGTGGTTCACTCACAAACACATCTCTTTTTTATCATATTTTCATTCAAATATACTGTAGAATGCAAGCTCATTTCTTCCTGGGCTACAGGTGCTCACATGTTCTGTGCAATATTTTTGCTCTTGTAGCAATACATGGAATTAAACAGTCACAAATCAATTGTTTGTGTGTTTTTCAGTTTATTGGTAGGGAATGTGGAGAGTCTCTTTCTCCTTTTAGTTCGATATACTGAGCAACAGACTCAGCAACTTTAGCGAATTGTGTTTCATTCTAATGGCAAAAAGTGTTCTAAATATGGCAACAATTATAAGTTGTATTATTAGATGGAAAAAAACAAGTTGGGGTGAATAATTTAATTCTGGTTTAAATAATTTGGTTGCCTTTGCTATAAATAACTTTGTAAATATTGATTAGAAAGAGAGACTGAATTAGATTACTTGAGTTTGTAGGAGGAAAATGTTCCCATTGTTATCATAGCTTTGTACTACAGATAAAGGTAAGGGATTCTTTGGAGTTGTATGATGTGTGAATGTGTGCTCTTAAGTATAACAGACTGCATTTATAGTTATGATGGACCTCAAAATACCATGACAGGATAGAGGTTCAAAAATATGATTCAGATTTCCTGAGACTGCTGGATTCTGGAGACGCCTCAGTTGGTACATTTTGTGTGAGCAGTTCTCATGGGACCTGTACAGAGACTCCCATGACTGCTTAAGAAATCCTGCAGCCTGATCTGGTGGTTGCAATTTCAGAGATAAGTATGTAGGGCTTTTTTCTCAGGAACTGCTTATGTGCTTTGAGTTAAGGGATTATGAATGAGATCCACATTCAGTGCTGGGAGGTGAAACAATAGACTGCACATTCCTTCACAGAATGGTGAGCTGAAGAGCTTGCCATTATCTTCATTGTCTTTCTGGTACTATAAACCAAAGCACTGAAGGAAAAATAGGACTGAAGCAGTTGTCTAGTGAGAGTCTCTGCCCTGATGTTCGGATGTTCTTCTGTGTATGTCTGACAGATGTTTGTTTAGTTCTGCAGTGAGAATCCTTAATCCACCTTGAATTATCCAAAGTCCTCTACTATTCTTACATTTACAATGTATTTCCTAGCAGTTGTGCTGTTTCTCATTTTAATTTAAGCCTCTTATTTTTAATCTTGTTCTCCTTTCTATTCCATTGCAACACCTTAGATAAGGAACCTCTAGCTCTTACTCATAGGGGCAAATTATTTCCTTCAAAATGTTTGTATTTTCTCAGTTGAGTAAAGTCTGTCATAGCAATCTTCTTTTATGAATGATGTTTAAACCATGAGGCTGTTTTGTGTGGAGGGGAAATGTCACTATTTTTGTCCTTAGGGAAATGCCACTATTTCTGTCCTTAGCTGCCAACCCCTTCCAAATGAGCTGAGCAGACTGAATCCCGAGACTCCTATTTAGAGAAGGGAGGCTGGGAGCTGGAATAACTTGCAGAAGTGCCTAGGGATACTGCAGTCCCTGGAGAAGGCATTTCATGCCAGCTCTATGCACCATATTTCAGAAACTTTCATCCTTTCCCAGTTCCCACGGGGGAGCTGCTTGCCTGGGCATTCCCATGGGCCTGGCCCAGCCCAGAGGATTTCAACACTCAAATTAAACTTCCCTGATCATCCTGTGCCAGGGCTCTGGCTTTCAAAAACCAGCAGTTGAATGGGCAAGTAACAAATATGCTCCCAGGGAAGCAGTGCACTTTCAGTTTTGTTTTTTGACTTGTAAATTCTCTCTCTTCTTTTCCATTTCCCCCCTTATTCCACAGGAGCAAATTCATTGTCATTGCAGCAGACAGTCTTGCTCTCTTTGCTTGCAATACCAAACCTACATAAGGCTTGATGGGGAATGTTCTGAGGGGATGGATTAAGGGATACACATAAAACAATGCTGTGGATTGGAATTCAGCTAAAATATCATCTGAATGCTGATTATGAACACTGTATGTCTATTAAAGTTTTATTAGGTAGATAGGGACTCAAGGCAGACAGACAAGAAGAAAGAATAAAATTAAGCATATAACAGGTGCTGATAAAAAGTCAGCTGTCTGACAGCTTAGCTTTTCTAATGGAAAACCAGGTGCTTTTTTGTGCATTTAAAAATATTTTTATTGCATAGCTATGCAGCATGATATTTTTATTCCAAGCTTAGGAGTCAGCTTTTAAAGAATTAATTCAGAGCAAAGAGAAAGAAGAATCTGGGCCACACTGTGGTGGTTATAATTTCTTAGGTTGAAAACAAATTGCAATTCTCACTGTTTTTCAGGATTTGTGCTGTCATCTCTTCAGATGTAGGAAGACCAAGTGCACTCTGATATTTTTATTGAGCTAGTGGAGGACTGTGTGTTGAACAGTGTCCACCATAGATATGTCATGTCATACCTTATAGGGCTAAACACTGTAATAAAAAAAATCACTCTAATGAGAAACTGATTAATGAAACCCTGCCATAATATGGCATGTTCTGTCTTTATTCTATATGCTCTTTCTTTATTCTATTTCTTTATTCCTGCTTTATTCTACAAGTCCACTTAAAATAATTCTGTAGGGGAAGAAATACAGGAGCTCGGAAAAAGTAAACTTATTCAAATACATATTGCATTTACAAACTAAATGTTGGCCTTGGTGACTGTCTGAATTAAGAGAGGTCTTTTCCCAGGGGAGAAGGAAAACTGTGGGGAAACCATATCAGGGAATGGTCCCAATGCTGCTGCTTCATCCTCTGGGCTGAGCAGATCCAGCAGATCCTGTTCTCTGTACTGGGGGTGACAGAAGGTGGTGAGTCTGTGCCACAGTAACCCTCTAGTCCTGTTCTTTATCTATTTGTGATTTGCTTCCCCACGCCTCCTCTGACACTGAAATCTGGGGAAGTCTTATAGAACACAAAGGTGAGGGCCTTGTTTGCCCATATAGTGATTATTTCAAATTTTAGAAAAAAATTTTGGTTTTGTGTGTGACCTTCATCCCTAGCCAGCATAGATTCTGAGCTTCATATGTATGAAGATTTTTGTATTAATGTATGCAAAGCATCTTTGAAGGTATATTTTTCAAAAAAACCCCAGACACTGAATTTCCTGGCACAGGAAAATGGTAATAATTCTAGCTTAACGCTTTTGCAGTTTTAGGGATATGGCTGGGCTGGAATTGCCCACAGCATGGGAAGATGAATAATTGCTAGAGGTAATTAGGTCCTCTGTTATTTTTTGCACAAACTAAATAGACATCTTTGAGGAGCAATATTTGAAGAGAGTGCTTGAATGCATTTCTAATTTTGAGAGATTGTACTACTTTTAAAGTTGCCTGTTAGAGAGACAGGAGGCATTTCTGAATATGAAGAAATCTATAGAGCAAGTAAACATTTTAAAGTATCCCCTTCAGCATTTATGTCTTGCAGATAATGCCATTTGTATAGCAGAAAATACATGAAATTACTTTGAAAATCGAAGAGAATGAACAGGGAGGTTTTGTAGGGCAAATATCGAGGAGCAGGAAGTCTCCTGTTCCATTTACATGCAGCAACCTCCTGGTGCTCTTGCAGGGCTCCTCCTGCCACTCAGTTGCTTCAGTTGCTTTAGCCTTTGGATGTTCTTTCAAGCAAGGGATCTGTTTTCAGAGGAGGAGACGGGAATGGTGCTTGGGTGAGTGGGTCAAAGTTCTTCATAATAAAGGTAGTTTTAATTCAACTAGAAGCAGGCTTTTATCACAGAATGTGGTGTTTTCTTCTGTCCTGACTCCTTAATATCCCAGAGCCGAAGAGTTTCTGACCTACCCCTCAAAGAGGCTGGATAGAGAGGCGATCACTTGGTAAATGCAGTGCAGGGCTGTGTGTGTCTCCTCACTGGTCATGCAATGATAGGTCAGAAGATTTGAAAATGTAAACTGTCTGGGCTCAGTTTATAGTTTATAGTCCATCTTCCCTCTTGTTATTTTTTTCATGGCTCTTTCTTGTAGCACATCTGCTATAAACTCTCCTTATTTTTGAACAATGGGCATAAAGTAATTATAAAGCCACAGCAGATTTTAAATAGTTGTTATCTTCACTGAGCTACATTAAACTTTTGAGCCTAATCAAATGTCGGAATTCAAAATATACTGCAAATTATTTTAATTTTGTCACATTTTGATTACTTTCTTCCTCTTACACATTGAGAAAAGTAGAAGAGAAGTAACTGTCTTGATGAGATACTCAGTTCTGAGAAAGAGTTGAGTGAGTCAGCCACACAGACCTAAATGGCAGAGGAAACTGAATAAAAATATTCTTAACAATCCCTTGTAAAATGAGAAGAATAAAGGAAAGGAGCGTCTGTCTCCTGCTGGGTACTTTTTTTGCTCAGAAATTTATCTTGCTAACTTGCTTTTTCCATTCCTGCAAGTATTATCTTAGAATTCATGAATAAGAAACAAACCAGTTTATTCAGTAGCTGAAAAGAAGAAGGAAGAAAATATCTAGGTTGATCTCTGTTGACATGTGTTTATATGATGAAGTTCAAAGCTTCAAAAAAAAATTCCCTGAGAGAGTTGACTATGTAAATATTTGTTAGTTGCCAGATTTGAAAATGAGGAAAATGCAACAGGTCAAATCCTAAAACATTAACATGGTTCTTTTAAATAAGCTCAGAATGGGAAAATTTAAACTTGACCATAAATGGATTGGAATATCTTATTGTTTTAAATCTCCTTTCCTGTCCTGGGTGTTCCTCACAGATCCTAAAAATGTTGCTTAAGAATCCACAATGCCTCTGGAATAATTTCTGATGAATTGCCATAAGTTTTTGAGGGAATAAAAAACCCAACCCCACACTAGTTTTGTGATGATGCTGAAATTGGCATCTAATCTTTCTTCAAGGCTCTAATCTTTCTTCAAAGTAAAGGGAGGCTTTTGGCTTCATAAAATATATTCTGATGTTTTCAATGCAGAGAGAGGATGCACTGATATGAGAAAAAGGAAGATGAGTTAAAGGGAAAATATAAGTAAATCAGCTTGCCTGGGGCTGTCCTATTTTTGCATTTATTTTTATCAGCAGTCTTGGTAAAAAAAAAAATTCCAAATAACATTTTTAGTTGTTAAGTCCTCACCAGAGTTCTACAATCTGTAAAGGTTCTGCAATCTGACCTCATTTGTTAAAATACAAAATCAGATTCTCAGTATGGCATACTTTAAAATTAAATTTTGTAGCCTTGGATTACCCTATATATGCTTTAATGTACATAAAAACAAAAAACTAAAGGCTTTAGTTTAGTTGTGCCCTTTTGAAATAGTTTTTTACTATTGTTTTAATCCATTGTCCTCATTAAGTGAAATAATGAGTGGCTTTTTAGATTTATTTTATAAAGCTCGGATTAATTTAACAAGCTTGGAAACCCTTAGATTTAGAATTAAAATTATATGTATACTTTATACAGAAGAAAAAAAAAAAAAGAAATTGCTATTTTTTTTTAGATCCCCATGCCATGCAGTTTACTTAGATATTTCAGAATATTTATCTTACAGAATTTCTTCATGTTACATAAGAGCTGTGATAATTTTTGGACGCTATTTTAAAAACAATTTGCAGAGCAGTGTCTCACCTGCTCCGAGACTATTCATCAGCTCAGCAGAGTGTTAATTCTCAATGTGAGCCCAGCAGGCTGCAGCACATGGCACCCCTGGCAGGGTTACTCACACCCACAGCCTCCCACCCGCTGCCTGCTCAGCTCCACTCCTGCACAGCAGCTCCCTCACCATTATTCCTGCCAGGCACTGAAAGCCTCTCATCTCTCGGAGGTGTCACAGTGACAGCAGCAGAGAGCAGAGATCCAGGGCTGGATGGGGCGAGGGAGCCCCGCAGGCAGCAGTGGGGATGATGCTGTGAGCTTGCTGCTTGGAGGAGGAATGTGTGTGTGCAGACACGCCGGAGCTCACCCTAGGTCGGAGGTGGCTCCGTGGGGTGGAAAATCTCTCCTCCAACCTGTGCTTCCAAAGAAAGCCTCAGCAGTCTCTTGTTGTTCGCTCTCAAGTTATCTAAAAGATTTTCTTCTTGAGCTGCTGTGGTTTGCTCAGTAGCTCAGGCAGAGGCACACACACCCCTGACAGCCTCTCTGTCTCTTGTCTTCTTCTTCTCTCCTCCTGCCCAGGGCTGGTGTTATCTTTTATATGGTACATTACGTGTTAAATGCTTATAGTTTTTCCCCAATGCCTATTACCTATATTAAATGGTGCTTTTCTACTCTAAACCAATCTGTGAGTGCCAACATCACCAAGAACATGGAGGTAAAGAAGAAGAAAGAGGGAGGACAGGACAGGCCCAAATCCCTCCATCTTAAAACCCCTGACCCCCATGTACAAAGCCAAAACCCCCCTCTACAAGACTTAAAACCCCCCTGTACAGCACTCAAAAATTCTTCCCTTTACTTTGTGACTACTTCTACTACAATATCTAAACTTTTGTGACTTCTTGTTCTTCCTGCAGGGTTGGTAAATCATTCCATGGCTCAAACTCAAAATCCCAGCTGTTTCCAGCTGCCTGCCAGGGTCTCAAATGCTTCTGACCTGGACCCAGAACATCCAAAAATGTCTGAGGGACACTTTGAGTTCTGACACAGACAAACCACACTGCAGGGCTGCCACCCTGCAGGTTTCTGAGCTGATGGCTCTTGTTTCCCCAGATTTCCCCAGTGCATCTTCCTGCTGGCCAGAATCAGGCTGGGGAAGGGAGGCTGGCTGTGCCATCTGGGGTGTCCATGGCTGGAACACTGGGAGAGTGTTTCACAAGAACCTGGATTCAATCCCTTGTGTTCCCTTGCATCTGGCCTGCTCTGTATCCATATCTAAACAGGGCTGGTGGACTGCTGAAGTGTGGCAGTTTTCTGCTTCACTTAGATAGGTTTTGGATCCACTCTGACCAGGTTTTAATGAACACTTCAAACTTTGCTGTTGCTAAAGCTACATTATGGATTGCCAAGGCATTTCTCAGCACCATTCTCATTGCCATGTTACTTCTCAGCTCAAGACAGCTTTCCCTGTGAGGAAGGTAGTACTCACCACAAGCAGGGAGGCACAGCATCCTTAGGTACAGAAGGCATCCTTTCTCTCTAAACAAAGAAAACAACAAAATTAGATTTTAATGCCACAAACTCAGGATAAGGAGTTTAGCAAAAATTTTTAAAAATTGGCTAAATGAAGAACAATGACTTGTAATTTTTTGCATTTTGTTTTATTTTGTTTCTATGTGTTTTAGAAACATCTACAAATGAAACAGGTATTTAGATTTAATGTGAATCTCTGTCTTTGAAAACAGGTAGTGCTTCTGTCATGGCAGCTTCTGGGTCTTTGAAAGTGCATAGAGGGCACAGTCTCCAAGCTGGTAAGTAAAAGTAATTATGAGGTGTGTGCATGTAAATTGAAACTAATTTAAACTTAAATTATTTTAAACTTCAGAAAATATGAAAGGCAATGCATGATTTGATTCTCTATTGTAAGGCTTACGTATTTCTTTGGGTTTTTTGCTTTGAGGAGTTTTTGTCAGAAAGGCATTGACAGATGGGATAAGTTTAGAAGAGGCAGTGACAGATGAGATAACTGACAGAGTATAAGCAGTAATCTTATTCACAGCAGTAAAATGCTGCCATCACTTTAACAAAGGGCACCCACAAAAAAAAAAAAAAAAATCACCTCAGGCCATGAGAAATCCTGTACCCTAACAATGATATGCTGGGAAAAAACACCCACCACATTTAAATATACTTCTTTATGATAATGGAGGAAAAAAATAACCACTGCCAGCAGATAGAATTATATGTGTTTGTCATTCAAAATTAATTGCAACATGTTCATTCTATGGACACAGCATTTTTGCTTGCCTGATTTTAACTGGGGTGGAGTCTGAGATTGTGAAGAAACGTGGGCTTCTCTCTTCAGCTTTATGTTCAGGAAAGACCGATGTTGTGCAGCCTGGCTTTTTTGTAAAGATGGTGATTTGCACTTGCCAAGCAAAGTAGTCTTTGTAAGGGCTAGCTTGAGCATTTTCAATGGTTTTTCAGAAATCAAGAAGTTATCCATCGTGCTGGAGGTGGAATTTTAACAAGAGTCTTCCAGATGCTCCCAAGATCACCCACGCATTGCTCCCTGATTCATGCATGCAAGACAGCTCTGCTCCCACACTGATGTACAGCAAAATGCACTGCTGGTGACTTCAGTGGCCTTCAGTGTGAAGAGTTGTACAAGTGTCCTAACTTTTATTTCCTTCGTGTTATGCTCATAAGGAAATGCTGACATTACTGTCACAGAGAAGTCAGCCCTAGCCACTGTTTATGCTTTCTGAGGCTATTCTGTATGATTTAGTTTAAAAGGTTACAAGTCAAAACCAGAAAAGCATAGGCTTTGTTTATATTGCACAAATTCCTAAATCCAAAGCCATTAACAGTGTTCCTGTATTCTAGGTCCTAAAGGTGGGTATGAGATGCTAACACTTCCTTCAGAACCTGGAACTCCAACTAGTTCTGAGGAACCTGGTGAGTACAGATTTTTGTGTCAGAGGTCACTAACACCTCTTGTTTATTTTTCTTTTTTTTTAAAATTGTTTAGATCTCTTCTAAGTGTGATTTTTGAAGTGTTGCCCTTTGAACATGTCAGCTTTACATGCATGCTCACACACACTTATCTTTGGGATGTAGTTATAGTGCTGGTTTTCTTTCTGTATAATTTATTGTTCATTTCTGAGAACGGTGCCCATATTGGGTAGAAAATATGAATAACTAACACTTGCTGAAGGAAAGGCTGCAGCACCAATTTCAAATAGAACTTTCTTCTTCCCTCCCCAGTTATGGTCTTTTCCTTTCTTTTCCCCTCAGCTGAGGGCCACTAAAGTTTCACTTTTGCTCTTCTGTTACTTGCTTGACCATCTTTTTTTATTCTTACAGTTTCCCCCTTTCTCTTCAAGCAATCATGATATTCTAGCAATTCTTTCAGAATGTTTAACCATGCATTGTGGTCTGTTCTTCTCTCAAATCCTCCTTTCACAATGTTCTCAAATACTGGCCCTTTGACCCCTCTTGGAAACACCTCCTGTCTTTGTCCACCCAGAAGGGACTGCTGCAAGCACTGTCCATGGCTCACTCTGTGCACCATGCTTTCATTAGTTGGAACATATGACCATGCTTTTAAAATAAATTCTTCTCTTCAAACAAATAAAAGCCAGTTTTCAGTGCCTAATAAGGTTTTTTATTTTTCGTTCATTTGGGTTTTTTAAGGAAAAAAAAGAAAACCAAATATTCCTATGTTTACAAAGAAATCACAGTTTCTATTAAGACAGCACTGACTAAACTCCAGAAGGCTTTTCCTTTTCTTTCCTTCTATTTCAGTTTGCCCAACTGTTCTTTTTCTTTTTTTTTTTTTTTTAAATTTTTTTCTTCTCCTTCTTCTTTTGAGAAGAATATTCAACTGTTGCCAGGTTTTGCTTTTCCCCCCTCTGTTTCTTTTGCTTTTTTTGCACAAAGCCCTACCAATTCTCCATTTGTAGTTTTTTAGATCTCAGGAAAATTGCTTGGCTTGTTTGTATCAGGTATGATATTCAGCTTCCTTAAAGCTCTGAACTGTTTAGTTCTGTAGGGGATCTTGCTAGTTTTCATGCTAGCTAACTTTAAGGATGCTTCACTTAACACTTCTGTTATAACACTTTAACAGCATGCAGAAAGACTTCAAAAATTATCTTTTCCTTCAGGACTATTCGTGACTCTGTATTTAAGATTGTCACTTGCTTGCCACTTCTAACATTTTGTGATGCAGGTTTTGAATGCTATGATTTTTCTGAGTCCCTTCTTGCTCAATAAGGCCAAATTCTTTTTCAATACTTTGGATACAATAATTGAAAATAACTTCTGAGAATGTTATTTGATGAAAATACAAAAATTCCTTCTGCATTCAGTCTGCATTGATTTTGTCATTTTGTTCTTAACATCTTGCTTTGCAACAACAACTTGAAGTCTGACTGGCAGAGAAATATTTCTCTACTTTTTGGATTTTTCCTATTTTTTAAAAATTAAAATCTGTGAGAAAATTGGCCATATTTCCAGTCATTTCAGTTTTTGGACTGTACAGTAGACTCCTTTGATTTAAACAGCTTAAGCCTGGGGAGATTTCATTAGACTGGAACATACCCATATAATATTACCTAACATTGTATGAGCTATTTCATCCAAGGAGATGAAAAAGTTTCCCTCAATGGTTATTCACTGCTGCTGTTGTCTGGATATAAGAAGTCACTTTTCCCTATTCTCTAAGATACCTTCATATCCTACTGCCTCTCTGTTCACATCTCAATAGGGTCTAAATGGGCAAAAAGGAAAAGCAGCAGTTTGGACGAAAAAGGATTTGATATGAATTCTTTGTGGGGACAAGGAAGGGTTTAAGAGAAGAACTTAATGAAAAAGGAGAACCTCAAAGTGATGCTGTTTTCCCTCTGCACTCTTCTCTCTCAAACTGACTTAAGAGCAGAAAGTCTTTAAGGCTAAGGACTCCAACTGGACTGAACAGGCAGACAAAATTAAAATGATTGAAAGCAGGGCTAGATGAAGTCTTCAGAATTAAACTAGTAGACAAAAAATTGTTTTTTTTTTAAAGTCAAAATTGTTTTATAGGAACTGTTTCCTAGTAGGTGTTGGTATGTGTCTTTTTTAGAAAGTTCTAGAAAACTCTGTGGGATTTCCTCTAAAGTTCTTGCGACCTTTACTATTTAGAAGTGTTTTCCCTCTATTTTCTTCCTGCAATGGAAGTCCTTTAATACTTTGTTGTCCTCTTTTGGCATTGTTCCTATCTTTTCCAATTCTGCACAGGGAAGCTGTCAACATTGTCTCCTCAAGTTTGCCCTCCCTTTGCTTGAAACAGTTCTTCAGTCCCTGTTTTTGGGATATGCTTTAAGAACCTCTACTGATTTTGCTTTCTTTCTTGCAGATGATATGGTAGTTAACATCTTCCTGGAACAAATTACTTCACAGAAAGCTTTACTAACCTAAGGTAGAGGTGGAAGCCTTGTGAGGCAGTGCTGCAGAGTGTTTGCCTTCTGCCACAACACAGCAAGATCCCTGTCTGTGGCATTCTGCATAGATCCTGACTTGATGAGTGTCTCAGGACATTTAAAGTAGAAGCTGTAGTTTTCTCATGTCCCATCTGCCACTGAGGAACGTGCTGTTTGGGAAGGAGAGTTATTGCTGCTCAGTGTTTGCTTGCAGTGTGTCTGCACGGACATTGCTCATTGCAAACACGCCTGTTGTAACTTGTTACTTATTTCAGAAGGGGCTGTAGGTTATTCAGCTGATGTCCCTACACCAGATCGACCCCAGAGTGAGACAGCCACTTATGTTAATATTCCTGTCAGCCCTACTTCCAAAAAACAGCTTCACTACATGGAACTGGAACTTCAAGAATCTAGCACAAGCATAAGAGGTAAGGAAGTCTGTGATACTTTTAAACAGCAAGGAATATGCAGAATGTATGGGGTATGTGGAATCCAAATTTCATATAGGGAGCAGATGAGGGAGCTGGGCATGTTCAGCCTAGAGAAAAGGAGGCTCAGGGGGGACCTCATCCCTCCTACAACTGCCTGGAAGGAGTCAAGTGGGGGTCAGCCTGTTCTCCCAGGAAATAGTGACAGGAGAGGACACAGCCTCAAGCTTCCCAAAGGGAGGTTCAGGCTGGGCATCAGGAAGAATTTTTTTCACTGACAGGATGGTCAGGCATTTGAACAGGCTTCCCAGGGAAGTGATGGGTTCATCATTTCTGGAACTGTTCAAGAAAGGACTTGATGTGGCACTCAGTGCCGTGGCTTAGTTGATGGTGGTGCTTGGTCAAAGCTTGGACTCAATGATTTGGAGGTATTTTCCAACCTTAATGATTCCATGATCTACCCACAGGCTTCTGCTAACAGAGGAGCTGAACCCTGCTTTGTTTCTGAGACAGTTTCTTTAATTGGTATCTCTTCTTGGAAAAGATTTTTGAGTAATGAAGTTCTATAAGATGTTGCATCCTTTTGACAGGCGCACTCCTTCTAAAGTGAACGTTTCAAACTCTGGAGTTTGAAAGACAGTAATTTGCTTGTGTTCCCAAGATTTTCATTGCACATTAGGACTACACTTACCTCATTTTTCTTTCTTGGCTTCAGAAACAGAGCTGTGGGTGTACAGGGCTTGCTCCTGAAGACACTGGCTTTGGAGCCATGCAGCAAATGATTCAGAACAGAACACAGTGTTCTTCTATCTGCTCTCCATGTGGGCACGTGAAAGTGCTGCAGAGAGAATGCAAATTATTTCATTTTTTTTAATGTTTTTGTTTCATTTTTTAAAATTTTTTTGTTTGGATTGGATGTTTTACTTCTAATGCTTTACTTGGGCAATAAGCACATAAACATGCAATACATCTGCCATGTGTCATCATTTAGAGATGCAGTCCTTGCTACAGCAAGCCTCTCATCAGAATCTGGTATTTAATTCCTTTCATTTGATATTTTTAGGTTTTCCATCTATACTTCTCAACTATAAAGATTTTAATTTTTATACTTCTAATTTCAGCAATTTTATTAAATTTGAAGTGCACTTTTCCAATGCTTTTTGCTTTTTATATGTTTTTCTGTTTTTCATTATGTAATTTTAAGCTTCTCCCAGACCTTAATGTAGTTCTTTCTACAATATTGTGTTGAAATGGAAAAGCAATATTTTCTCTTAATTTTAAAGACAATGAACCAAGTCATTAAAATGAAGAGTTAAATACTATAAATTTTCATAAATGTCAACTATCATCCCAATCTCAAAATGTGCAACTTTAAAGGTGCCTGTAATGACCATAAATATTTTATTTTTTCATATTCAAGTTTTCCCAGCCTTTAGCCTTATAGAAGTATTTTACTGCTTAACAGACTGAGCAGCTTTTGTCTCCCCTGTTGCCAGGAAAAATGAGCTGAAGTGGCATTCTGTGTGAGGCTGAAGGTGGTTGCTGTGGTAAACATTCACAAGGTGCCTAATCCAGACAAAGAACAGGTCCAGCTTCTACAAGTGTTTTCTGTTCAAATAGCAGGTGTTGTTTATTTCCTGATTGGTAGCATGGTGAGGAAGCCTCCCAGAAGTGGGAAAGCCAAGTTCAATTTTGTATTTTGTCATTGACTGGGAGTAATAGGGGTGGAGGTTCACACCTGGGGCAGAAATACAAGTGATTCATTTGCTTATTTGAGGAAAACCAGACCACTAGAATATGTAGATAGCAAAGCTTTCGAGGTGTTTTGTTTTAGTGGTGGTTATCACCTTACTCCCTTTATGCAGTTTTCTCTGAGACTGGACAAAGATAATTCAGGAAATCTGTGAAGGAAGCGTCAAAACAGCTTTTTTTACTCAGGAATACGTGAGGGGTGTAGTTCTTTAGAGGATCCCATTTGGTGTTTCAGGGAGTGGATCGTCCCGGTATGCCCAGATTGACATTGCAGCCACCGAGACCGCGCACAAGGTGGGCACGCAGCACGCGCAGTGCCGCGAGGAACGCCTGCAGGAGCTGGAGCAGAAGAAGAAAGGAGCTCAGCAGTGATCTGTCTAGGAAAGAACTTTGTGCTCACCACAAATTCATACTCATTCATCTTCCAAAAGATCCACATTTATTGTAAAAAAGCACTCACACAAATCGCTGCCAATGCTTCTTGCAGTTGTACCAGATTCATTCCGATATCTTGATTCCTAATTGGAAAGCTGGTAGCACGAGGGGTGTGTTTGGTCTTTCCTTTTATTTTAATTTGGTTGTAAAGTCCAGATTTTTTGTCATATGCAATGACAGATGTAAGATACCTTTTTCTATAATTCTAAAATCACGGAGAACCTGGAACCAATTTCAGTGTTTATTAAATGGTGGCATTTTCTTTGAAAATAAAGAACTTGAATGTGTGTAGACAAAGGAATGTGAGTGTGTGTGTGGTAGGTGTACACATATGTTTGCATATGTCGGTATGTAAACATTACTGATAAAATATATGTATATTTCTGAGTGTATAAAATATGTAAAACCTCTATTAATATATTAATGGACTCTTACAAAAGCAAGAAAGTTCAGTGCCTGCTCTTTTTGCAGGTTCGGTTTTGTTCAATTTATGTACATGCTTATTTATGGACATGCTCAATTTTAACTATGGATAATTCAGTTTTATACCTCACCAAGTCCTGCAGCTTTGGCTAAAGTTTCTCAGATGTAAAAGCTGTAGTGTCAGAGATGCACATGTGTCTGCAAACAGACAAGAGCACACAAACAAGTTATTTAATTATGTCTATAAACCACAGTAACATGAAGCGGCATTTCTGTTCTTAGAAACCCTTGGTCATGGGGTATTTCTGTTCTTAAAAAGCCTAGGTCAAACCATGAGTTTGATTTTGTAGTTGCTGAGTACCTGTAATTCTTAGCAATTTTCCTGGAGCTGAACATACGTATCACTTTGAAAATCAGGTCTCAGTTTTCTCACACAGCACATTTTAAAACCAAGTTATTCGAAAGAAAAATTCACTTTTCAAAATGGAGTCTTTTATGTCACAGAAACTATTCCTAATGTAAAACAAGCATCCACCTTAAATCTAAAACTTTATTGAAAAATTCTCTGCTGTCCCTAAGTAGCATAAAACCAGTTCTGTGTAAGAGGATGATATCTCCAGAGATGCTACAGCCTTGAGGCACAACAGGATGTTATCTTGCAAAATAGGGTTACCCATGAGTCTGCCATATCTTGCTTTTGTACAGTGAGATTTTATGATTCAAAATTTAATTTCCCATGTTGTCTATGTAAATATTTGTATTCATCCTCATATAAAATACTCTTTAAATAAAATGTTATATAAAATGTATGGCAGTGATGCTAGACTAACAAACAAATGTACTTAAGAAGGAAAGAATTTGTTTTCTGATAACATATCAGCTTTGGCTTTCAGAAGTTGCCAAGAGTGAAATCTTGGGTATTATGATTTTTTGTTTGTGTCCTCTTAAGATCCAATATTACAGCCAAATTCTGTTTTCTAAATATGATTATAATTTATACTGGTGGGTGGAAGTTTTGTGCCAGTGAGGATTTTACTAAGTGACTTAAAATGAGAGGTGGGGTTTTGTTTCTGAGGCAGAATTTAACCTACAAATTTATTTGAATGTTGCCTCAATAGTAATGTAAAATAGCAGAAATCTCTCAAATAAAAAAACCCAAAAAAACAACCAAAGCCAACAGTAGTTGAGAGTTAGCAATTGCCATTCTTATGTGTCCTGTGTTCAGACGTATTTTTTCTGTTGATCCACCTAGCATATTTCCGGAGGGAAAAGAGATCTTTCTTATGAGATTCTAAGTTTAAAAGATTTTTCTTTGACAGTGGAGAGTGGTGATCTGCTTTTTAAATTTCAGTACAACTGGGATGGCCTGGGCTTCCTGGGGCCAGGTTTATCTGACTTCTTCAGTCAAGGATCCTCCACTGGAGAACTTGCAAGGTTAAATCTCTTCTTACGGGACTTCATATTTAGAATGAGCACAGCTTGACTGATGTATTGAAATGTGTTTTTTTCCCATGACAATATAAAATGAAACTATAATATTTCTATTGCAAAAATCTGTTTACCAGGAAAATAAACTACCCAAGGTCTCTATGAAGGCTGCCTTTCTGAATGTTTCTTACATTAAATCTGGGACTTGTAGCATGGGTAAGGATTTGACACAATAGTAAAGGTCATCAGATTGCTGCTGGCCTCACAGAGGAATAACAATTTTAAAAAAATGCATTTTTCAGGTTAAGAAGGGCTGTGAACCTGTGCATGCACGTGGTTTTCTGTGCAGATGTATTTGTGTATGTTATAGTAATTTCTGGTTATTTTAAATTATTTTTACTTCACTTAAATAGGATAAATTGAATAGATGACTTTAACTTAGTTTTTTAAAATTCACTTTATATTCTCCTACACTAAGTTATATTAGGAGCTGAAGCAGGAGGCCAAAACATGCAGTTGCATCTGTTAAAAACTGGTTGGTTTTTGTTTCAGTAGTACCTGCAGGTTGTATGTCCCTGTCAAGTTACAGGCTTGACATTTCTGTTGAAGGAACCAGAGCTTTCTCATTGGAACAACAGGACCTTACAGAAATGAAAACCTTTTTTTTCCTAAACAAATAAAATCATGGGCCTTCAGCTTCCACTAGTGAACTAGGGGCAATGGAAATCAAACCATAGTCCTATTAGCAGGCTTGTGCTTGGTCAGACACCTTGCATAAAAAAACATGTGCATGAGTGATCTAAAATACAGTTTGTGATTTCTATGGGATGAGTCCAGATACAGAGCTCTATGCAAAAAGAAAAAACTAAAAAAAAAATCTCCCACGCTTTTGGAAATAAATGCAACTTGTAACTTCTGATGATAAAAAGAAGGATTTGCTCATTTTTAATTTAGCATTCTATCAAAGTCAGATCTCTTCCTGTTTTTACCAGAAGCACAAAGTATTAATTACCAGAAGAACAAGACAATGTGATGTGGCTGGTACTTCTGAAAGATGTTCTTGAAGGACTTTAATGTGGCAGAAGTGCTCTTGGTGATAAGAAGAAGCTGTCATTGAGTGCAGTGTTTGGGCATAAGCATTGGTGTGCTGTGTGTGCACCTCCTTCCTCCTGACAGACCTACTGCCAAACCTCACTGCTGCTTCAGGGGCTCATGGCATTGCTCACAAGCTGCTATGGAGCAGTTTTGCATGCAAATATTTGGGTGATGGAGTTTTCTCCAAGGTAACGTGCTGCAGGATGGAGGGCTGGAGTTTGGAGGGATTTAATTTCACAACAACGCAAATAATTGTCTGGGTTTTAATAGCACTCCGGCACCTAATTGTGGAAAATGCCAGTAGTGTCTTTAGGCATGTAAATGTTTGTGAAAATCTGCCCTGAGAGTTGTTTTTCAGCAAACAGCTTGGAAAAAATCCTATTTTTCTTCTCTGCTGTAAACAAACCAGTTTTAATTAGTGTAGCTTGGAAAAGTATATTTGAATTTGAATTATGAGTGATTACATTTTTTGTGAGATGCTGAAATATGCAGCCCCTGGTAAGTTCCTCTTCGAGTTTGTCTGGAATAAGACACATACTTGATACAATAACCACAGGAAGAAGACACAGGATTTTATAAGTTACTGTTAAAATTATGGTTTTCTTTTTTTTTTTTTTTTTTAAGATGACAATACTGTTACATTTTTATGTCACCTTTTCTTTGGGAAGATTCTCAGCTCTTTTGACCAGTAATACAAATAATGTTCTACGATCTAAGTTAAAAGGAAATGTTAATTTAATCTCATCCAGCAATTAAAACAAGCAAAGCAGAGTAAGGCTGGGAGAGTTAAAAGTAATTAAAAGGAATTTTTGTGAGGAGCAGATCTGCACCAAACACAACACAAACAGCTGGGCAAAAGAGGTGAATGTGTGTTCAGCTTTGGTACAGCCTTATCTCGAGTGCCATGTGCAGTGCTTGGCCCCACAGTTTAAGAAGCAAGGACAGGTCTCTGAATGTGTCCAGAGAACAACAAAGCTGGTGAAAGGGCTGGAAGTGCTCTGAGGGGAGGCTGAGGGCTCTGGGTTTGTGGTGTTTGGAGCAAAAGAGACTGAGGAGTGACCTCATTGCTCTCTGCAGCTTCCTAAGGGCAAGCAGAGAAGGTGCTGAGCTCTGCTTGCTGGTATCCAGAGATAGGACGTGCAGGAATGGTTCAAAACTGCACCACAGAAGGTTTAGACTGGATTTTGGGAAGCATTTCTTTACCAAGAGGTTGGTTTAACACTGGAATAGGCTTCCCAGAGAGGTGATTCTTGTGCCAGGCCTGGCAGTGCTTAAGAGGCATTTGGAAAATACCCTTAATAACATGCTTTAATTTTTGGTCAGCCCTGAATTGGTCAGGCAGGGGGATTAGTTGGTTGATACTTTTACCTCCCAATTAAAATATTCTATTCTATTCTATTCTATTCTATTCTATTCTATTCTATTCTATTCTATTCTATTCTATTCTATTCTATTCTATTCTATTCTATTCTATTCCATTCCATTCCATTCCATTCCATTCCATTCCATTCCATTCCATTCCATTCCATTCTATTCTATTCCCCGTTCCATCCCATCCTAAAAATGACAGGCTTCAGAGTAGCCTCACTCTAAGTGATATCAGTTGGTTATTGATAAATCAGCTATCAATTTTCTCTGAAAGGCTGGAATATAAGTGACAGGAAAATACATGTAATCTTGACCTGGATTCTGATACAAGGAATAGCTTTGTAAGACAGTGAGCAGGTTTAGGGAAGTGCAGCTGACATGTGAACTTTGAATTTAGTAAAAACTTGAGGGTGAGTGAACTTTAAAACTCATATACTTTCAAATGCTTGCCTGCATCAGGGCATCTAGAAATTCAAATATATTATCCCACTGTGTACACAGAGGCGTAGGTAACATCACCATTTTACTGAAATAATACGTGTCAACTTATTTGAGGAATATGCAGTACGGGGGGTGGGATCAGAAAGCAGATTTAGCATGACAGTAATTTTTCTCTACATTATATGCTTGTGAAATCCTTAAAAAGAAAAATAAATAAATAAAAAAGCCTTAGCATCTGCTATTGTATAAGTTAAATTTTACCCATCTGTAGGCTGAGGTGGCAATTTATGGATAGTCCATATACAGAAAATAGAGCTGATAGATGTTCAGAAAGGAGCCTGCTCTTTGGATAGTGGAGTTTTATTATGTAATTAATCACTCAGATTCATCTTCCCCCATGTCTCTGCCACGTTTGGAGGATGTACCCAAAGGCCTGCCTTTGGCTGCTGCAACACTCTGTCCTTTTGCTGCCAACAGCCAGCAGTACTGGACACAAAGTGGGAAGCACAGGAAAGTATCTTCCTGGAATTTGATGAAGTAGGTAGGTGTCAGCAGAGAACCAGAAAGCAGCAACTGTTCCTTGCCAGCACGGGCAGAAGGGCAGCACCACAAGATGTGTGTGTGTAAAGAGCTGTGAAACAGAGAGCACTGTAACCTGAAAGGAGGGTGCCCCAGTTCTGTGTTCAGCTGCACCAGTGTCATTACAGTGGCTGGGGTGTTTGGTGGAGATGGATCAGGTCTGCTGAAAGCCCAGCACCTAATCTTGGCTTTGCTGTCTCTGTACTTTCTATAGTGAATCACAGAATTATGATAGTAGTGACCATAAGTGACCATAAGTGACCAGAAGCAATAGATGTGGGAATGCCTCTCCTGCAGGGACTGCAGTGACAGCCCCGGGTGTGCTGCTTTGGAGCTCTGCAGACAGCAAATACTGTGGAAACATTTAACAAGCAACAGAAAATACTGTGGGAACATTTAACAAGCATAGAGCCTCTCATTGCTGTTGCTCTGTCTGGGGAATTGTCAAGGTGTAAGTTACAGCCTGCAGCTGGCCACATCTGCAGCATGGCCTGTGATGGCAGCCCCGTCCCTCTGTCCATCAGCTCCGAGCTTGCCCTGAGCGCTGCAGGGAGAGAGAACAACTGGATAACAGAAACCTGGTGGCCAAGCAGCAACACTGCCCATGTGAAGTGAAACTAACTGCACCCTGCTCTGTCTCTCTGTGAGTGGCCAAAGCTGAGCAGACTGAGTTGCTCTGCTCCTAGGCTGGAAGGAGCTGATGAAAATTCATGTTTTTTTCATGGTATGTTTGTGGCTAAACAGGGTCACTCCTCTTCCTTCTGTAATCCCAGACACACAACATGGCAGTACTTTGATCTGGAATTTTGACTGTCCTATTTGGTTACATTGGCTGTTTTGGTATTTCAAAAGTTCTTCTACAGCTGTTAGTAGTAGATATGGCATAAAAATGAGAAGAAAAACAATTCCAAAGAAATCTCCGGAAAATCATGTTGTCATCCTGAATTAATAATCATGAATAAAATCTTTGTTTTGCAGTTCTGCAAAGAATGAGGGTCAATTTGTGCAAGGCTTGATTGGTGGCAGGGCTTTAGTGACACCAGCAAACTGAGGCTAATGCAAACATTGTTTAAGACATATCTATGCCAGACATAAACATGAGACTCAGAACTTGGATCTGAAATGGTTGGGAAATGGACTCTTTCCCCACTGAAGGACCATTTAGTTAATGGTTTTGGTTCAGATGTCTTCTTGAATTAGAAACTGACATTTGAATTTTGAAGTTGGACTAAAGGACCCAATGCCAGGCACTGTAAATTATTGGTTTTCATATGTGAGTTTCCAGTTCTCAGTGTGTTTATTCTTCAAATGTGTTTATTCTTAAGTGTAGCTCCCTTCTCTCTTTAAAGTGCCTGGAAAATTACAACTGTAGAACATTAAACATAATTTTATTTTAGTAGGAGGCTTATTTCAAAGTGATTCAATACTCACTTTGCCTACAGAAATTGGCACGTTTAAGTTACAGTAGACCAGTGTTGAGAGGCAAACTTGGAGACTGAAATGGTTAGTTTTACTAAAAGGGACAGCTTTTGTGATAAATCAGTGAGGGAACAAAGTTCACATATTAAGCATTAATATCTGTGTTCTGTTTCTGATTTAGGAGAGTCCTCTTTTATTGAGTGGTGGAATAATACACTTGAAGATTTGGATATGAAAGTGCTTTAAAGACTATTGGTAAAAGCA